TTTGGAGAGCTTCCCACTCTGGATCAGCCAGGTGGGGACAGTCTGCACGCGCTACATGCGTTGCAGACGCACGTAAGTCACGTCTCTCGATTTCCCATCAAGGAATAGGCCGTGCCTTGACGTCCCTTTCAAGTATTTCAGTACTCTCTTAGCTGCTTCCCAATGTGTGTTGTTGTAGCATGACAGGTATTTGTTCAATTCCCTTACTACATTTGCAATATCTGGTCGCGTACCTATCACTAGATATTGTAGCGACCCTATTAGTCCCCTGTAGTCAAATCTTTGTGCTGCTATTTGTTCAGCCATCATCTTAGTTTCAGGCTCGATCTCAAGGCCTGTGACTTGGGGAGTCGCTACTACTGAGCTGTTCTCAATGTTATACTTCTTCAGTAGTCCTGATGTGTACTGATGCTGTGAGATGGGAAACGACGAGACGCGACGACGACGGCGGCACTCCACGATGCATAGAGGCCGTAATGGCCACAGAGCTTCGTAGGCGTGATGAGGAGCGGGCTCGGGTGCTGGCAGTGAAAGCACGAGACGAGGAACGAGAGCGTATGCGGGCCGAGGAAGGGAAAGGAAGCGTGCGAAGCGTGTCAAGCGTACGAAAGCTCGCCGATTGAGGCGAACCGAGCGTGAAGGGCTGGCGGTGGCGATGGCTAGAGACGGCGTCGTGGGCACGGTGACGTCGATGCGCGAGCACAAACAAGTGGCAGGTCCGAGACACGATGGAGGCGGTATTGTGCTGGAGAGCGACGTGGTGATGCCAGAACCAACGGCGGAGTTCCGACGGGCCTTGGGTTGGAGTGCGACGGCAGCACGGTCTCTGGGTGAGCTCAGAGCCGTTGAGGAGGCGTTGAAGGACGTTTACGCGACCCGCGCGGTGGCGGAGGCTAGGCGACAAGAAGAACTGGCTGCGGGTGGCGTGGTTGGCGATAACGACGTGAGAACCGGGGAGGCACAACCGTTAGTACTGGCCGCCACCGGGCTCGACGCCATCGGAGAAAGCGACTGGACGAGGGCGTACGAGGCGCCGTTGCAGCGGTCGAGGACACGACGGAGATATGAGAAGCGCGTACGGAAGGCGCTCGCGAAAGCGAGACGTGCACTGCGAGCACGGCTAGCGGCGGGGACGTACCCCGACGGTGCGTACGACGAATAGCGAGGATCAGGCCCAAGTGCCGCCCGAGTATTGAGTCGGGATGGGGCGGAG